TTTTTTCTTTTTGCTTATGTGGTGCTGAGGAATTGAACCCAGGGCCTCAGGCATGCAAGGCAAGCACTCTACCACTGAGCCACCTTCCCAGCCCCTGGAAGGCTCTTTCTTGTAGAAACTAGAATGTCTGTCCATCACGCTTCCACCAGATAACCTGTATCAAGACAGGAAAATTGACCTGGACTGGATTCTTTCTCCTTTCATCCTTCCATGAAACTCAGTCTGCATCTCCACCTTTCATCTCCCTCCTTAGGTCCTACTCACTTCAGGCTCCCCTCTGTGTTCTGGAATATTCTAGCACAATGGAGCTTGGTGCATCACACCTGCTAATTATTTCCTTCCTCCTGCCAGGAATGTGAGGCCAAAGATGACCATCTATGTCTGTCAGGAGCTGGAGCAGAACCGAGTGCCCCTGCAGCAGAAGCGGGATGGCAGTGGAGAAAGTGGCCTGTGTGGTGAGTTGTGGGAACAGAGCCAGCTCCCAAGCCTGGGGACACTGCAGCCTACCTTCCAAGCCTGCCCCACCTAGTGCTTCCCTGGGAATGTTCAGGCCCTGTGCTCAGCTAGCTTCAAACCTTGATTCTATATTTCAGCCTCCTGAGTAGTAAGATTACAGGCATGAGCCACTAGCAGGGGCTTGTGCTTCCTTTTTTTTTTTTTTTTAGTCTGTTGGGGGGCTTGAACTCAGGGCCTGGCCACTGTCCCTGAACAAGTCACAGCTCCACTTCTGGTTTTCTGGTATCTCACAGACTTTCCTGCCTGGGCTGGCTTTGAATGGCAATCCTCAGATCTCAGCCTCCTGAGTAGTTAGGATTATAGGTGTGAGCCGCCAGCACCAGCTTGTTTACTTTTGAGGAACCTGAGTTCCCCCTATAATTGAACAATAGTGGCAGGTGTGATGATGCACTCCTATAACCTTAGCTACTCAGGAGGTTGAGACAATATGATAAAGATCTGAGCCAGCCCAGTCAAAAAATTAGCCATATCCTGTCTGAAAAACAAAAGCAAAAAGGAAGGTCTGGAGTGTAGCTCAAGTATAGAGTGCCAGCCTAGCAAGCTGAGGCCTGGAGTTCAAACATAGTACTCTCTCCACCCCTAAAAAAATAGAGTAAGCCACTCTGGTTGTCCCAGGAGTTTGCCTGGTGGATTTAGGTGTTGTTAATGGAAGCATATGCAGGTATTCTGACTTGCTGACAGTATAAGATCCCTCCTGTAGCCTCCCCTTTCCCTTTGGGGTCACAGTGCTAAGTTGATTTGTGTCAGGGAAGGACCAGACCTGTTCCCTTCTGTCATTGAGTAATGATTGTTTTAAATATTCCCCTCTCACCTGAAGCTGTTCAATAACTTGTTTAGACAGTGGGAAAATGGGAAAGTCAACACAGGCCTTCTCTACTCCCTCCTAAGCAGGGTGCACATTTGGCTACACATCAGAATCATGGGATGCTCCTCCAGCCTCCACCTCTCGCTGGGGGATCCTGGGCTGGGAAGTGGGTCCAGGGAACACTGGAAGTGCTCAAGAGAGACAGAAACAGGAATGAGGAGTCAGGGTCTGACATGTGCACCAGGAAATGAGTTGGGAGGTAGAGGGACAGAGAGAGGTAGGCTCATGCTAGTTTAATGACCATCTGAGAAGAAGGTGCTTGTTCTGCCCTTTTCCAGTGTACCAAGCCATCTTTTTGGAAGAGCTGACCACCTTGGAGCTGATTGAGAAGATTGCCAACCTGTACAGCATCCCCCCCCAGCACATCCATCGGGTCTACTGGCAGGGTCCCACGGGCATCCACGTGGTGGTGAGCAATGAGGTGAGGGTGCCACGATGGGGACTTTGGCCTTCTGGGAGGAGCCCCCCCCCCAATGACCTAACTTCCTCCCACTAAGCCCACATCATCAAGGTTCCATGCCTGGTCAACAGTGACCAAGCCATGAACACATGGGCTGTTAGTGAACATTCAGAATCCATGGTATAGCAAGAACTTCCTGTGTTTGGGCTGCTACAGCTGCCTGGGAGGCAGAGTCCTGAGACCACATCGGGTCTGGGTGGCTGCTGAATAGCTGCTCCTTGCCCTGCTGTTTGCTGCCCACCCTGCAGGACCTGGCGTGCTCAGTCATGTTGGTGGAAGTCAGGAAATGGTGCACCCCTAAAGTGGACAAGGTAGGGACCGGATGGAGTTGGGTGAAGGAGCAACTGTGGCTCATGGAAGATGACAGCAAGGCCTCTGCTAAGTGGTGAAGGTGTCCCAGTGCCAGGCCTGTGTAGGGCCCAAGTAGTCACCAGTGAAGGCGGCCCTACTGAATCTATGTCTGCTGATGGTTGACCAGCTTAGGCTTTCCTTTCATGTTAAAGAAAAGATGCTTTTAAGCTCGTTACATCCTGTTTCTTCCTCCCAACTGACTTTTTTGGTATGTGTGTTGGGGGGTAGTTTATTAGATATGAGTTCTCATGGACATTTCTGCCTGGACTGGCTTTGAACTGTAATCCTCTGACCTTAGCCTCTTGAATAGCTAGGAATACAAGTGTGAGTCACTAGCAGTTAGCCAGCTTACTGGATCAGATTCCTGGGACAATCAACTTGTGAAGACAAAAGGCTTATTTTATCTCACACTTTCCAAGTTTTCAGTCCATGATATATGGCTGGTTGTTTTGGGGCCTGGGTGAGACAGTACATCTTCTGGGAACATGTGGTTGAAGAAGTAACTTACCTCATGGTGGTTAAGAACCAGTGTGTGTGTGTGTGTGTGTGTGTGTCAGAGAGAGAGAGAGAGAGAACTGGGATCCCATTGTTCTTTTCAAGGACACTCTGCCATTGACCTAACAGCCTCTCATTAGGCCCTAACTCTTAAAGGTTCTTCTACTTTCTCAAACCCCAACCTGCAACATGAGGACCTTTAGGGGAAAGTAAAGAACCCAACTGTAGCAAGTGCTTACTATGCTCTGGTTCCTGCCTTATGTGGACATACAGCAACTCTATTATTCAATCCTGATTGTCTCTATGAAGTAGTTGAAGTTACCCCATCTCACAAATAGGAAACTGAGGCACAGAGAGACTAATTGCCCCAGGTGACACAGCTAGTAAGAGGTAGAACTGTGTTGAGAACTCAGGCGACCTAGCTGCCAAGCTTGAGATTGGAGCCAGTAGGGTATCCAGTAGGATGTATTGAAATAAGAGCTATGTTAGTGGGTACAGTAGTAGTCTCCTGAGCCCCCAGCTATCCCCAACCAGGTTCTATGAGTCCTGAAATCCATGGTGTAGAGGAAAATGGTGGCTAGAAAAGTAGAGAAACTATGGGCTTTAGGGTTGGGCTGGAATCCCTGTCCAGAGCTATCTCCTGGTAGTGGAACAATCTCAGGGAAATGTGGATGACCTCAGTTTCTGCATTAGCAGAGTGGGGGTGCTCACACTCATCAGTAAGGATGAAATGAGAAATCAGTGGTGGGTTCCAGGAGACCTTGGATCTTGTAATTGGCCATGCTTTGGCTGTGTACTTGCTATTTTTAGGCAAGATCTCTTTAGATTTGGCAGTGCATAGCACATAAGTCTGAATGCTGTGTGTTTCATAAGTTATCCACATTAGTTAATAGTCCTTTTGACATTTGTCACTGCAATTGTCAGAGTCCTTTACTGTTCATGAGTTTCTTCATGCCTGGGGACTGGCAAGGTGGTTTTTTCTTCCTCTTAAATGGTAATTCGAGAGAGGGATGGTGGATGAATGCAGTCAGAATACCTGATGTACACATATGAAAATGAAACTAGGAAACTTGAGGGGCTAGGTAGGGATGAATTGACGAGAGGGAGTGATCGATGGGGTGATACTGATCAAGATGCATTGTACACATAAATGGGTATGTTAAAGTAAAGCTCCTTTGAACAATTATTTGAGGACAATGAAAAAGAAAAAAAGTGTAATTCATAATTAGTATAGGTTGGAAGTGTAGAATCGCAGAAGACAACAGCCAAAGATCCTTCTTTTCCCGTCTCTTCCTAGAGGGACTGACATTAAGTTTGATAATGTATATGTGCTCACAAACACATGCACATGCATGTGTGTGTGTGTGTGTTGTGTATGTATGACATGTTTTGTGTGTGTGTGCTCATGCATATGTGTGCATGTGCATGGATGGCTTTGTGTTCTGTATATTCATGTATTTTGCATGGTTTGTATATGCACATGTGTTTATGTGTTGTGTATACATACATGTGTTGCATGTTTTGGGGTGTATGCATGTTTGTTTAGCAGGTATTAACATGCAGTTCGTGCCCGTGGCTCATGCCTGTAATCCTAGCTACTCAGGAGACTAAGATCTGAGGATCTCAATTCGAAACTAGGCCAAAAAGGAAAGTCCATGAGACTCATCGCCAATAACTACTGCAATAACTACTATAATAACTACTAAAGCCATAAGTGGAGTTGTGGCTCAAGTGGTAGAGCACTAGCTTTGTGCAAAAAAATCTCAGGGACAGCACCCAGGGATAGCCCTAAGTTCAAGTCTCAGGACTAGTACATGCAAAAAACAAAAAAAAAAAAACAAAAAAAAACAAAGTACTCAACATGCATCCAGCTATCTGTGACTATTATCAGCAACCCAGTCTTTTTCTCTAGGTCTCAAACGGTGTCTTTTGGTCCCCATTTACCAGTGAGGAAAGTGAAGGTCATAGTGCCTATCCTGAGGGCTTCCTTGAGAGTAGCCAGGAAGGTGGAGGGGTCTAATGATGGGCAGGGGTGGTGGCATGGGAGGTGTGTCCCTTTGTACTGAAGTCTGAATTTGTTTTTGTGACAAAAAGCAAGAATGTAGGGGAACCCTTACAGTTTTACAGGCCCCTGAGGAAGTTCCTTCCCCCCGTTTGCCCTGTGCCCTCAAGAACAGGCAGTTAAGCAAGTGAAGCAGAGAACAGAACTTGAATGCCACCTTGGCAAAGCAGGCGATTCCCATTCCCTGAAGTCACAGAATCAATTGGAAAGCTTGGGTTCTAAATTGCCCAGAGCGCTGGAGGCAGCCTGGCCAGCCACAGAGCCGGCCCCTGGGGTGCAAGGGCATTTAATTAAACAAGGGAGTTACTGATTAAGCCCATGTGGGCCCTGCTTACGGCTTTGCATGCCCAAGTGGCTGGGCTGCTGGGAGGCCTAGATGGAGCAGGCTGGTAGTATAAAATAAATGTACTTCATGCATCATTAGGCCCTCAGGGAGGGCTAGGGGTCGACAGATGGATGGATTTCTAAGATTTGAAGTTGGCATTAATGCAGAACAGGTGATAAAATGTGGGTTTCTTTTTTTCTGTGGTACTGGAAATTGAATCCAATGCTTTATAGGTGCCAGATAAATGCTATACCACTGAGCCACATCTTTGGCCCAAGGCTTACATTTTTTAATTTACAAAATATTTTTATTGTTGGTACTTTGGTTTGAATTCAGGGCTTCACATTTGCTAGGCATGTGCTCTGCCACTTGAGCTACATTCCTAACTCATTTAGCTTTATCTATTTTTCAGATAGGGTGTCATGCTTTTGCCTAGTCTGGCCTTGGACCATGATCATCTTCTCTATGTCTCCCACATAGCTGTGAGAGGTACCTGGTACCCTCTGACCAAGTAGATAGGGGTATGTATGGATGCCACCATACATGGATGCATTTTTTAAATTTGAAAAGGGGCTTTGTTACCCCCTTGACTGTAGTGTGCATGATTGTATACATGTGTATATTTTTAGCATTCTTTAGTGCATATTGGGAGACACAGCATGCATACGTGAAGTTTATAAAACACACAGTTTAATAACTGCCTGCTTCTCAGATGACTTGAATATTATTTTAGGAGCCTCTACAGCTTGTTCCATGTGTCAGCTCCCTGCTCCTGTGAAGTTTGTATTAATCATTCCCCTTTTCCTACTTAATATGGTTTTTGTTGGTGGTGGTGGTCATGGGGCTTGAATTCAGGGCCTGGGTGCTGTCCCTGAGCTTTTTCACTCAAGGCTAATGGTCTACCACTTTGAGCCAAGCACCACTCCTCGTTTTTTGGTGGTTAATTGGAGGTAAGCGTCTCATGGATTTTGCTGCCCAGCCTGGCTTTGAATTGTGATTCTTAGATCTCTGCTTCCAGAGTAGCTAGGATTATAGGCATGAATCACTGGTGCCTGGCTTAATATGTTGTTTTCCCCCCATTTTATTCTGATTCATGGAAGCAGAATACTAGTATATATTTCTGCAACTCCCTTCTCATTCTTTGCTATGTTTCTGAGTCTCAGGTATGCTGAGGTGCATGGCTTGCGGTCTGTTGGTGACATCAGTAATAAAGATCTCAATTGATTTGCAATTCTGCTATTGATTGACATTAGGACTGGTTCTAGTTTTGTGTTAGTACACATAATGCTGCTGTAAACATTCTTTTTTCCCTTCCTTAAAAAAAAATGCCTGTTCCAGGGCTTAAAGTGAGGACCTCATGCTTGCCCAGCTTTCTTGCCTGTAGCTGGAGCTCTACCACTTTAGCCACACCTCCAATCTGGTATTTTGCTGGTTAATTGGAGATAGAGTCTCACAGACTTTTCTACCTGGGATGGCTTTGAACCTCAATATTCAGATATCAGCCTCTTCTTCCTGAGTTGCTAGGATTACAGGTATGAGCCACCAGTGCCTGGCCTAAACATTTTTATATATGCATTTGTATATATGCAAAAGGAGTTAATCTAGGACATACATCTTGGATGAGAATATACATGTTACTCTTGATCAGGTTATACGAAGTCTTCTGGATTTCCACTCCTCTATCAACAGATGACAGTTGACATTACTCTATCTTGGTTATATTTTCATCATTGAAAATAGCCCCATTTATAGCTGGGGCCATGGAGATAGAAAGACTTGTCTAAGGTCACTGCATAGTTGATAACAATTAGAACTCTAGAGAGATGGTTTGAGAATCATTAATTTCTTACCATATCAGTAGACATGGGGAGTCTATTCTTCTATAGTTTTTTTTTCTTATAGGCTGCTGATACGCATATCTCACTAATTACCCTTTTGTTTAAAAAGTAATTTACTGAGGCCAGGTGCTGATATAATCCAAACTACCTGAGAATGAGATTCAGAGGATTTAGGCTTGAGGCTAGCCTGAGCAAAACAGTCCACGAGGCCCCTTCTCAACCGAAGCTAGGTGCAGTGGCATTGCCTGTCATTGTAAGCTATGTAGGAGACTGGAATTGGGTTTCAGGCCATCTGGGGCAGCAAAGTCTGTCAGACTCCATTGAATGAAGAGACGCGGGATGCAGTGGCATGCACCTGTCACCCCAGCAGAGCCAGGAAGCCTAATATAGGCAAACTGTAGTCCAGGCACTCATCATGGTAGGAAAGGAGACTGTATCTAAACATAACCAGTGAAAAACAGGACCGGAGACATGGCTCAGCAATAGAGTTCCTGCCTAGTCAGAGGAAGGCACTGAAGTTCAAACTCCAGTACTGCAAAAGCAAAATAAAACAAACAAAAAAAGCCGATTACAGTCACATAGCCCTTAAACAATGAGATAGATATCTTTTATGAAAGTGTCCTTAGGAAATTTCATCATTATCCAGACACCCCAAGTAGTACTGACACAAGCACTAATGGTCTGGGTCAATTGCTCAATGTAATCAAGAGGTACAACAGATGAGAGGTGTGTGTGTGTGGCTGATGCTGACATATTACTACACAGTTTAAAGAACACTTACAAGTAGAAGGAACACACTCTAAAGCAACAAGTAAACATACAGCATGCTAATGATATAAGCCTGTACCGTTAATACCATTGTCATCTTCACGAACTAGTGCTGTGTACTGTGTGTAATTGTACCCACAACACTGACAGCACGGGAGGCTGTTGAACCCAACGTCAGCACACACATGAACATTGCACTGTAGCTGCTATGTTACCATGGTGGCAGGGCCACTGGTAGTAGGAAGTTTTCAGCTCTGTTATAATAACATGGTACTGCCATTGTGTATACAGTCCATTGTTAATCGAAATGTGACTAGTTTTTTTGTCTGTTTTACATATACATTCATATAATGAATTCTTCACAGAGATTGAAAGATACAGTAACTAAAAAAAAGCAAAATAAATACAAACAATCTATACCCCTGTGTGCAATGATACTGTCTTGAAGGGTCTCCTTCCAGGCTGTTTCTTTCCTATCTGTAATAGGCAAGTTCCTATTACTTAAAATTGCAGTTGTGTTACATAGTGACTGTGTGTCATTTTCCAGTTGTGGCTGTAGTGGTGTATTTTTGTGTGAATACAATGGTAGTGTTATTTGTATAATTGTTTGCCTGGGCAAAGAGGGTTTTTAAAATTATTAACTGATCAAGCTAAGTACTAGTGGTTCATACCTTTAATCCAAGCTAACTCAGGACTCTGAAATCTGAGGATCACAGTTTGCAGCCAGTCTTGGTAAGAAAGTAAGTCTGTGAGATTCTTATTTCTAAGTAACCACCAAAAAGCTGGAAGTGGATCTGTGTCTCAAGTGGTAGAACACCAGCCTTAAGTGAAAAAGCTAAGAGACAGGCCCTGAGTTCAAGCCCCAGTACCAGCACAGATAGATAGATATATAGATAGACAGACAGATAGATAGATAGATGTGGTTATTGAAGAAACATGTCTCTCCTTTGCCTTTCAGATGGTCCAGAATTTCCAAGATGAGTCATGTTTTATCCTCAGCACATTAAAAGGTAAATCTCCTGTCATCTTGTTTAATTGAAGTGTGTTGTCTACATCCTTTTGTCTACATCGTCCATGGCATCTCTTGGGCAAGGTAGGGTGGGGTGGATACATGGGCAGGACCTGCCTGAATAGGGCCCCTTCTGAGGATGGCTTTCTGGGATCAGCCTTTGGGAGTAAGGAAGCCAAGCTAGCCCTAGCTAGCCAAAATGAACATGATTGAACCAAAGGAACTTCTGAAGGGGAAATCCTGGACCAGGCAGTCTGTAGTCCCTGAATTTCATGAGTTACGACTTTTCATTGTCTCTAGGAAGCCCAAGCATGGATTACAATGGTAGGCAGAGTATGTTGGGGACTTCAAAGGGGGACAGCGTTAGCATGCCCACTCTCTGCCCAGAGAGAGACCCTCTGCGACTGGAGATATGTTTTCATAGATGGTAAAGAAAGCCTTACAGTAGCTTGCCTTGGGAAAAGTGGATGTGTGGGCTATTTCAGAACAGAAGACTGGACCATGGGCCTTGTTCTGGTCTGAGGGTCTAGTGTGAGGAAGTTTTCCATTATTTTTAAAAAAATACCTGAGTTAGTCAACTTAAAGAGAGGAAAGGTTTATTTTGGCTCCTGATTTCAGAGGTTGCAATCCATTGGCCTCACTGCTTTTGGGCCTATGGTGAAGCAGTACATCATGGTGGAAGTATGCGGTATAGTAAACTGCTCATCTTACCAAAGTTGGCAAGAGAGACAGAGGAGGGCTACATTCCGACATTCCATTCAAGGGCACACTGCCATCGCTAACTTCTTCCCATTATTAGCCCCCTCTCTTAAAGGTTTCTCTGCCTCATAATAGTGTCACAGGTTGGTGACCAGCCCTGTCACTGATGAGCTTTGGGCACATTTACAATCATAAGCACATATATAATTCCAAAGACACCGCCATTGTTATGGGCCTGGAACCTATAATATTCCTGAAAACCATAGTTAGATAGGTGCTTTTGTCTTTTGGTGTAGGGCTGTGATAGAAAGGCCCATTGTCAAAAAGAAACTGGAGCCGGGGCACCAGTTTCTAATACCTGTAATCTTAGTTACTCTGGAGGCTGAGATCTGAGGAACATTCTTTGAGGCCAGACCAGGCAGAAAAGTCCATGATAGTCCTGTCTCCAATTAACTACCAAAAAGCTAGAGGTGGAGCTGGGATTGAAGTGGTAGGGTGCCAGCCTGAACAGATAAGCTAAACAAGAGCATGAGGTCCTGAGTTCAATAACACCACCCCCCTTCACACACACACACACACACCCCTAGGTAAGTTGGCTGCCAAGTTGTGTACTAGAATAAATTTGTGCTTCTGTTATGTGGCCTATTTGGTGTATGGCCTATTTGGTGGTCTCTGCTGGTACTCTGATACCACACCCTTTAAGACTCCCAACCTCCCAAATAGTACCTCATTGGCCTTGGTTGCTTTGAAGTATGCCCCGTGTTTCTGTCTTGCAGCCGAGAGCAATGATGGCTACCACATCATCCTGAAATGTGGACTGTGAGCAGAAGTAAGACATGCATCTACCCCAGCCCCATGGACCCCTGGGATGTTAGAAATTTCACCACTGTTCACTGCTGTCTACCTGACAAGCTGAGGCTAGGAGGAACCCTGACTGCCCCAGGCCATTCAAGCTACGGACGATCAACCTGCAGAAATCGTGGACACAAAAGCCAGCATGCAGAAAGTGATTGGCTTCAACTTGCTTCCTCTTGGCCTCCAGTTTTTGAAGAGTTTCTTGTTCTGTTTCTCAACTTTGATTCTCTAAAAGCGGCCAACAGTGGGGTTATCTCTGAAATCCCAAGCCCCTTAGGTAGAAGCTCATTGGGTGTCTTTGTGCCACCTCTATTGGTCCCTTCTTCCCACTCCCCTGTCACTAGAAGCCATCCTCACCCTGTGCCTTTTCTCCATCCCTGGTGCTGGCTTCCTGGCCAGCTCTGCTGACCTGATGCACTTTGCCTTTTTGTTCTTCACTTGCTTCCCCTCTCAGTGACCCCACTAGACTGGAGTTATTCTGTGCCTTCCACTTCTTAACTTTTATCTTGTTTCTAAGGATCTGCTGCTGCCCAGACCAAAGGGGTATTCATGTCTCTGCATTGGCATAATGGGTAGATATTGCTATGTATTTGTATAGTCTGTCTCCTGGAGCTAATTCCAGGACCCACTTGAGGGCCAGGCGGTGGAGTGGAAATAGAAAGATACCTTTACAAACATCTTTATACTGATGAGAACAAAATGATTCCTCCTGAGCTACTTTGGCATAGTTCTGTTTCCTAAGAAGTTATAGGTAAGAAGGACCCAGAAGTAAGCATTACTTCATATTATCAGGTAACCTTGACCATTAAAGTACCAGACTTTTGGGTTAGGGGGTGTATAGCTTAGTGGTATAGCATTTACTCAGCATATGTGAGCCTCTGTGTTTCATCCCCACCACTGTGAAACAAGCAAACTAACACACCCTTAAGAGAACTTACAAAATTCCATTTAGAGAAGGCTTCAGTTAGTCACCCACCCATCTGGCAGTTTCCCTGGGTTTTTGTGGGGCTCTTCATTCAAGTTCTCATCTTTTGTTTTTTTGTCGGTATGGGGCTTGAACTCAGGGTCTGGGCTTGTCCCTGAGCTTTTACACTCAAGGCTAGTGCTTTACCACTTTGAGCCACAGAGCCACTTCCTTTTTCTGTTTTAGTGGGTATGTTCAGGGTACTTCACCTCTATTGGAATAGTTGGATCTCTTTCTTATCTGTAGGGAAATGGACTTAAGAATCTATCTTTGTCTTGCCTCTGTTTTGGTATCCTGTGATCTGTGCTGGCCAGGGCTCCATCTTGTTTCCCATTTAAATCATCTTCTAAGCCACAGATCACTTAAGTGGATTCCACAGCTTCTGAAATAGAGCTTTTGTGGAATCTAGTGAGTGGCTCAAAGAAATCAGAATTGGGCTAACCTTGTTTCTCAGATGGGGAGACTGAGGGACACAGCCATCTGTATGATATCTTATAGAGATATATCATACAAACCAGGACAAATCAAGGGTTATTGAATTGATGGTATTTTGTAGGTTCTTTATCACTTTATACACATAATTTGTGAAAATATTCCCTAGTTATAACAGGCATTGGTGACTCATACCTGTAATGCTAACTACTCAGGAGGCTGAGATCTAAGGATCGCCGTTCAAAACCAGCCTCTGCAGGGAAGTTCATGAGACTCTTATCTCCAATTATCTAGCAGAAAGATGGAAATGAAGCTGTGGCTCAAGTGGTAGAGTATTAGTTTAGAGCAAAAATGCTCAGGGACCCTGTCCCTGAGTTCAAGCCCCAGGACTGGTACACACACACACACACACAATGTTCCCTATTCTGTAAGTTGTCTTCACTCTAAATAATGGTGTTATTTGAAATACAGAAGTTTTAACCTTGGGTGATGTCCAAATTTCCTTATTTTTCTTTTGTCACTTGTGCTCTTGGGATCCTCTCTAAGAATTCATTTCCTAATCCAAGGTTAGGGAATTTTTCTTCACTGTTTTCACCCATTTTTGAGTTTCATACATGAAGTAGTGATCTACATTAGCTTAGGAGGATTTCATTGTGACATTTCCACACATGTATCAATGCATTCTAGTCAGTCTCCCCCATCACTCCCACTTAGTTCACTCCCCCTTCTTAACACAACTTTAGCAGTTTTCATTGTTCTATTTTCATGCATGCCAACAATTGACTTTGACTATATTCATCCTTTCATTCTCCTTAGCCAAACTCCTCCTCCCAGTACACCCCCTCCCCAACAACAGAGCCTGTCTCTCTCTTTCTTTCCCCACTCTTGATCTCAGTTTTCATTGAGGTTCTTCATGCTGCTTTCATATAGAGTTGCTCATATAGAGTATCTCAAAATTGTTCTTTTTTTAGTGTATCTACTTATTTCATCACTGATTACTGAAATGTTTGTGTTTACTTGAAGAATTGCCTTGGCTCCTTTGCTAGAGGTCCTGGGTTCTTACTAATTCCTCCCTTCCTGTCCCTTCCTGTCCCCTCCCATCCCCTCCCATCCCCTCCTATCCCCTCCTATCCCCTCTTATCTTCTCCTCATTTTCCTTTTCCTTTTCTTTCACACAATCCTGCCTTTGGGAGGCTCACCTCCTCCTGACTCCCCACCCCCACTCTGTATTTGTCTCCACTATTTTTGTATCTCCCTTGCTATTCTGTTACTGCTTTCTTTCCCTTTCTTTACTTGTCTCAGTAGTGTGGGGCTATACTTGTCTGATATTCTGCCATCTTTCTTGGTGTGTATTCCACGTCTTAGTCCTATAGAAACATCAAGACCAATCATTTCCTTCTTTGAACAAGTTAAGACACATAGAAGTGGAATAATTCTAGGTCACACAGCTCAGTAGTGGGAGGATCAGGTCTGGACCTATGGTTTGGCCTTCAAGGCTCCCCTGGCCACCACATCAGTGATGTTATTACCCAGGCCAAGTGAAGGTAGGCTAAAGTTTCAACTCTTAGGAAATGTGGGAAATTATTTTTCTACTTCTTAGTTCCAAAAGAAGGACTAATAAAGGTCTGTTATCTGAAGTCTACTGTTAGTAGAGTCTTACATTCTCTGATGTGCCTGGTGATGTCTTTTCTCATTAATCTTCCAGTGGTTAAAAACAGCTTTCAAAGGAAGAAAAAATGCCCAAAGAGGACAAGTAGTAAATCAATACCCAAATATCTCAGATGCCTAATAATTCATCATTTTACTCTTTGCATGAGAGTCATGAGATAAAGCTTTAGGTCTTATTAAAACGCAGAAAGGCACCAGGCTTCTGATCTCTGTCTAGTTTTTCTTATGGACTGTGAGTCTAGTGGTCTGGGCTGGCTGGACAGGGTGGTAGTGCCTCCAGGGCCCTCTGCACCAGCATGCCATGTGTTTTAGGCTGAGGCCTTTTGATGGCAAAGGTTTTTAAGAAGACACATGTTTTCATTTCACAGTTCAGTCTACCATCTTGCATTAGAACACAAATTCTGAGTTCTTTGCTATGTGGCCATCCCGATTGTTCATTCTGTCTGCAAGGTTGTCTGTCATAAACCTTCCCTGCTTACCTTTACAACAAGGAGATGTTGGCTGTGATTGGGGGAGAAGAGGGGTGGCATGCCTTTGGTAAGAGCAGTGAGGAGACAGAGGTCCCAGGCAAAGGTCCGGCATTGTCCTAGTGACCTCTCAGCTACCCAGGCAACCTCTGGCTGCTTGAGCTGTGAACCTAGAGAGGGCTTTACCAGGAAAGGAAAGGGCCACACAGAGCAGCATGTCACAAGTTTCCAAGTCCAATGTTGCTTCGGGGGCTGGCTGGCGTGGCTGAAGGTCTGAAAATCATTAACGGGTTGATGAAGTAAATGGACTGGGTCTTTTGCTGTTGTCAGTGGAAATAAGGGAGAAAGCCCCCAGGCTCTGAGGAAAGGTGGTGAGAGCTGAGAGGGGGTAGGGACATGGGGAAGTGGGTGTTGGCACTGCCTTTGGTGCCGAAGGAGGGAAGGGACCAAGAATGAGAAGTCTCAAGTCTATGCACAGCCGGAGTGTCTGTCCCCCTTAAAAACACTGGCTGGGTGCTCAGTGGATGGGGGAGCTCAGTGGTAGTTAGAGCTCTAGGCTCTGCATTCAAACCCTGGGAGCACCAAGAAAAAGAAAAAGACAGACCCAGGAAACTTAGAGTCCATGAAGGGTAGCAGGGCTTGCCTTTTGTTGCCCCTTTATCAAAACCATACAATGGACATGACCTTTGCGTAGTGACACTAGTGTGCAAGTTGGTGTGTACTGACTTGAGTTGGATGGTTTCTGTCAAGTCTTTAGGAATAAACTCTAGCTCCCACCTGGAGTGCTCATAGTAGGCCACAGGCATGGCCGCTCATTGGCTACATCAGAGAAGAGAGAGAGAGAGTGTGTGTGTGTGTGTGTGTGTGTGTGTGTGTACCCCTAGTATAGCATGGTTTGGCCCAAACCACTTTTGCCTTTGCGAAGAACAAACTTCCCCGTGAAACATGGTTCCTTCTGGTGTTGGGGGAACCCTCCTGGAGGTAGAGAAGCTGGTGAGGGAGTTGCATCCCTAGGTCAGCTCTTTGAGGAGCGTGAGTGGTGCTGGCAGCTGGTATCTGACAGCCACCCCATGAACAAGGTCCCTGATAGATCCTCCCTGCAGTCCCCCAGGATGCTGCTGCTTCCCTACTGCCCTTCCCCCTCGGGTAATGCCCTCTGTGTCTTACTAGTCTGACTGGCCATTATGGAATGTCTGAACCTTCTCCTTTCCCTTCTCTTCACCCTTTGGGAACAGGGCAGTGGGACCTGAGGGCCAGTGAATGCCAGGCAGGCACCTCCTTCTGGGGGGAGAGCTTATACCTGTCTCTGCCAAAGCACCTGGTGGAGGTGGGGGGGAGGAATGTCTGCTCCCTCTTCTAGAGTCCAGAGTGCCTAGGTCCTCATTCCTCTTATTCCAAGGAGACTCCCTCCACTCTTCAGCTGCAGGGGACAGGGGAACTTTGCATCCTGGGACATGCTCAGGCCTTCATCAGAGAGAACAGTATAATCCCCACCTGTCTCCCAGGTCAGGTGGGCTAAACCAACACTGCCTTTTTTTTCTGACAGCAATCAGATGATAGGATCAGTATCTTCAGATTCCATTAAGGGAAAAGATAGCCCCCTCACCTAAAAACAAAAAACACTCTTCTTATTAGTAAGTCTCTTTACCAAAAAAGCTACATTTTGAATTGCATAACTTAAACTGTAGAGGCCTGGGAATGTGGTTCAGGGGCAGAGTGCTTCCTAGTGAGCAAGACCCTGGGTTTCATCCCTAGCATCAAAAAGAAAAGAAAAAGGGAAAAAAGAAAAAAAGTTGTGGACAGTAAAATAAAATTAGTTATGGAAATTTATTTTCTCTTGTGTCAATGTAATGTCAATTTTGCCCTTGTCCCTTAAAGCCTAAAATATTTATTCTCTCACCCTTTACACAAAAAGTTTACCAGTCTCTGAGCTAACCTTCATTACTCTCTCTCTCTGATTTTGTTAACTAATAAAAGTATAAACTTAGAAGTAGGAGGTGGATGCAGATGAATTTCTCTGAGTGCCCCCTACCTGGTGTCTCACTTTCTTTAGTCTTATTTCCTGTGTGGCTGAAAATGAAGGTTCTGGTCCTCAAACCCCAGGCTTCCCAATAGATCATCCTAGCCTCTGGGGGAGGGGAAATATAGAAGTGTCTGCTTCCCTGCCTACTCCCTGTTCTTGGAGCCCTGGGTCACCTGGCAAGGGTCCTAGGGCTTGACACCAGAAAGGGTTTTTGTGCTAGCATTTTAGGACTGCTGAGATACAGGGAGTAATGGTTGCCACTCAGCTGGTCACTGGAACACTTCTGTCCTGGAAGGAGACTGCTTGATCTCACCTCCAACTTGTGCCTGAAGGATGGAGACTCTCTTCCACTAAGCTTCTCTGGGGTGGGCAGATGCCCCTGGACCTGTCTAGTGGTGCTCTCCTTACTTGGGGTGGCTGAAGTATGGCATTGCCAAGGCAATTTATGTAAGAAACAAATGAATTTCATCTTTTAGGTTTGGATCCCATCACTCAGATACCTCATTGTGTATGTGTAGATATTCCAAAA